CGAGCTCTCCCCAAGCCGGCTGCCCCTGCCCGGGGCCCTCGGAAGCCTCCAGCGCCTCCCCAGCACGGCATGGAAGTGGCTAAAGCAGGTGTAGACAGAGAAAGGGCGCCTCCTGGGCCAGGCTGCACCCCGCTGTTGGGGTCTGATGAGGCAGGGCTCAGGTCCAACCGGCAGTTCAAGATTTTAGCCTTTCCCTCCCGCTAGGAGGCAGCGAATCGAGGGCCTGAGAAGCATTTCATTCTTACACAGAGAAACGCCGAACAATGTCTTCCTAAATATTTCCTATTATTATTAATTATTGTTGGTGGTAGTAGTAATATTTATTTCAAATTAGCCACTCTTTCTTTATTTTTAATGAAAAGAGCTTTATTTTATCTTGCTTATAATTGTGATGTGTGTTCATGCTTAAACATTCAAACAAAACAGCCACGCTTCTGTTTGGTGGTGAGAAGTTCTGCTTGTGGCATCTTTATAAGAGTTCCGCTAGAGAAGGGAGAAGCCCACCTCTCAGAGCAGCCGGCAGGGGGAGAAGTTCAAGGGGCGTCCTTCACCCCCAATCACCTGGGACGAAGGAGGAAGGGGTCACCCCCAGCTGAAGCTGCAAATCGGATGCGTCCTTGACAGCCTGCCTTTTGTCTGCTCCCCTGGGACAGAAGAGGGAGCCTCTCCAGTCTGCTCAGACCTTTAAAATGATTCTGGGAGGGGCTCCTGGGTGGCTCAGTCGGTTAAGCGTCCGACTTCGGCTCAGGTCATGATCTCACGGTTCGTGGGTTCGAGCCCCGCGTCGGGCTCTGTGCTGACAGCTCGGAGCCTGGAGCCTGTTTCAGATTCTGTATCTCCCTCTCTCTCTGCCCCTCCCCTGCTCACACGCTGCCTCTCTCTCTCTCTATCTCTCAGAAATAAATTTTAAAAAAAAATTTTAAAAATGATTCCGGGAGAAGGACTTCATAAGCCCAGGGCCGCGGGAACTCTGCAGGGAATATCTGATCATTTCTGAATGTTATCTGGAAAAGAAAAGAAAGCAGCTTTGTTGAGAAACGCTCCTGCTGGTGCCTGCCTCTCGGAGTCCTGAGCCTTCCGTGCACCGCTCTAGAAAAAGAAACTATTGACGAACTTAGGTCCTAACAAGGAGAAAGGAGTCTCGTGATCTCTGGCCAGAAGTTCCCCCAAGACACGTGAAATCAAACTGTGCTTGCTGTGCTGTAGCGGGCCTTCAAGTCGAAACACTGGGCGTATTTCCATGTAAATGGATATCGAACCAGGCCTCTGTGCTTTCCGCTGTGGGGATGGGGCAGGCTGTGTTGGGCCAGTTGTCTCCGGAGGGACGTTTTATTGCAGTTGCTTCGGGGAACAGCCACACAATTAAATCTTTGTGAAACTTTCCAGGGGATAGTTTCCTGGAAGCCGCGCCCTGAGCTCCTGAGCCCATGGACACGTCACTAGCCATCCCTTCTCTAAGGTCGTGAAGACGCATGGGGTGGGGGTTGGGGGGGGTGGATAAAGAGAGTTGGAAAAATCCCAGAAAATATGTTCAAATGCCATGAGCGAGGCTTGCCCCAGACCGGAAGCCCGAGGCTCCTGGAACCGTGGTGTAGAGCCCAGCCAGCCGGACCCCAATCCAGAAGCCACTCCTCCTCCTCCTTCTGACAGCATCCAGGTCCTCTCTGAGGTCTGGGACCCAGTGACACAGGGAATGACGGGCCCCAGAGAGGCTGGGGCAGGGGGATTTACTGCGGCAGGGAAGTCAGTTGCGTAGCCTTTATCGTTCACCCCCTCCCCGCCCGCCCTATCTGCCCCAGACCTGCAGGGAGTCAGAAGGAAGTTGCTGACCTGTTCCCTGGGGGAATAATTGTATTAGTTGTAAGGTGGCCTCTGGCGGCTTCGTCAGCAGATTCAAGGCTTTGGGCCGGGTAATCCTTTGGCGTCTGCCCCAGCAGCTGGTGGTCACAAATCGGGGGAGAGCCCCTGCCCCCAGCCCCACTGGGCTGTCATCCTCCCCCTCCCCCTCCCCCCCACCCCACCCCGGCACAGTCCTGGCTCCGGCTGGGACTGACCTGCCAAACAACAGAGGTCCAGGGACAGAGGAGCCGGGCTGAAATCAAATAATGCAAGGGGTCAACATAATAAAGTCAAAACAGAACGGGCACATCAAACACTGCTGGTGTTCTTTATTCAGAAGGATTTATTTTTTCCATTCTAAGTAATACATACCCACTAGGGAAGACCAGGAAAATAAAGACAAGTTAAAAACGAGCTGCTGTCCACTGAGCGTCTTGTCATCCACGTGCCCAGCTGACCTGAAACTCTGAACCCAGTCCCTGGAATCTTCCATCGACTGAGGAGAGAAAGACGCCCTGGAGTGAGGTTCAGCATTTAGGACAGGATCCGGCTGTGGAGTTTCTCTCTCCCACCCAGGGCGGTCCGCTCGCTCCTGGGAACAACACTCTGACTAAACTTCTGCAGCTAAAGCCAAAGAGATGCTCGGTCTTCCTAGAGAGCACCATGGTGGAAGGCAGGAGTTTGGGGACCTGATACCGGTTTGAAACCCCTGTCTCCTTCCCCAGGCTCCTCTCCCATTCCGCAGCTGTGTGGCCCGAAGCGATTCGCTTAACCTCTCTGAGACTCAGTTTCCTCACCTGAGTTGAGGGCTGCTGCGAGGTCTGGATAGGATGTCGCAAGCAGTTGTGTAAGCTTCTTGCTTGCTGTCTCCTTCTTCCTAGCGCCGATGCAAGGACCTCACAGGACGCTTTGGCCCGGTGGATGGCTCCATCCTCGAAGCCTCCCCTGGCTCCCATGGCCCACCACACTGTCCTGATTTTCTCAGGGGCTCTTCCTTGGCCCCAGCCTCCAGGATCAAAGGTCCCCAGCTCAGCCTCGTGTGCTTTCCTCTCTGCGATGCCTGATCAGGGCAGGCCCTCCATCCAGGTCTTCAGTGACCATCTCTGTGGACAAGCTGGGTATGAGCTGCTTGGGGCAGGTGGAGTCTGTCTCCACAGCTGAACTCTGAGTGGGTCTGTTGTAGAAGCCCCGGCCCAGACCCAGGCAGGTGTGGAGGGGCCACGGGAGGGGCACAGGTATGCAAGATCACCCAAGGACAGGGCGAAAAGTTGGGGCACCCGGAGTGGTGGCCATTGAGAGTGGGGAGGGAGATGGTCAAGACATGCTCCAGGGTGGGAGAGACAAGCTTTCCAAAGGAGAGACCAGTCAATCAAGTTCAAGGGAGATGCTCATGGCTTTGGAGGTTGGGTGGAGCTGGAGACTATGCAGTAGAGGGCCCTGAAGGCTGCCGGCCAGGAAGAGGTGCAGGTGGGCAGAGGCCGAGGAGGTCAGGTGTGGAGCCTTGGCCTGGTGGCCTCGATCTTCTGAGGCCTGGGAAAGCGGATTACCCTGCAAAGCCCCTGGAGCTGACTTCCCAAATCCCCAGTAGTACTTCTCTGTCACAGTGAGGGTTAACCCTACATACAGAAGGGCCCCGCCCCCCCCACCCCGTCCCATCCCCTTCACTCCATGATCCTTCCAGAAACTTCTCACTGTCCCCCTTGCCCTTGGGCTCTGAGCCCCAGAGGGGAGCAGGTCTGCTGAGGATGGGTGGCCCCTCCAGACCAAGGCAGGGCCCTCTGCTCTATCCTGGGAAGGAGGTACAAATGGAGGTGGGGACAGAGGAGTGGGGGAAGGAAAGGCTATTTCTTGGGGAGTGCTCTGTGATCTCCTCAGAGAAATCTGTAGTAACAGCCCCCATCATTTATTATGCTCTTACAGAGTACCAGGCACCGACACACTTTGGGAATTCTTCTGGTTTCCCCAACGACACTGCAACACAGATACTTTTGTCACCGCTTTTCGCAGACGAGGGGTCGGAAGCTCAGAAAGCCTAGGCCACCCGCTCAGGCACGGATGGCTGGCCTGTGCGGGAGCAGGGGTCTACACTGGCTCTGTCTGGACTCTCTCCAGCTCCTTCTGAGCCCCGGGCTTGGTTCACAGAGGCGCAGACCCCTCCTTCCACCTCCTCACCTCAGAACCACACTGGGCTCGAGCTGGGAAGCCTGGGTCCAGGGACCGCAGAGAGGCCAGCCCGCCTAGGACCGCGAGGCCAAGTCGGAAAGGGGGAGAGGCCAGCTGAGAGCCCGTAGTCAGGCTCAGGGGCTGTGTCCTCACACCCTCCCATCCTGCAGGCCCTGCTCCCCGGGAGGGTGAGGAAAATGCTGACAGCTCCCCTTCTGCTCCTCACAGACCTGAAGGAGACCCTCCACCTTGGGCCCCAGGCCCCCCTGCCTCCAGGCCAGCCTCGGGCCCTACATTAGAGCCATTCCCGTGTGTGACAGGAGCCACCACTGTGCTGGATGTGTGGAGAGCCCCCTTCTAGGGGGCCCGGGACCCTCCAATTCTGGGCCATAAGCCTCCCTTATCAAGGGCTTAGGTGGGAACCACGAGGGTGGAAAGCCGCAGCCACGGGGAGCCCCACGCACGGAGCCACGCAGACACACGGACGCACACACGCCCCCCCCGGGCACGTACTTGCTCCCAGACACATGCCAAGCAGCTCAAAACGGTTTAAAGTCCTGGGGGGCCTGGAGTCCCCACCTCCCTTCAACATTTGGCATCAAATGGCCAGCTGGTTGAGGGCCCAGGGGGGAAGAGACCAGGGGACCCTGGGCACCCTGGGGGCTGGTGTGGGGGCAGCAGGATCGACCGGCTCCAGGGGCACCTTGGTGACGCTGCAGGTGTGGCGGGTTGATCCCCTGTGGAGGCAGTAAAGATTAAGAGGATCATAAGCTGCGTCCAGCACTGCCCTGGGAGAAATCTCCTAGATCCAGAGGCGCTGCTGTGAGGGGAAGTTGGGGCAGCTCCTGAGTTCAGACAGACAGGCGGACAGACAGGAGGACAGAGAGGAGAGACTCGGGACGGAGACCACCAGGGCCAGGGAGACGGAGAAGCCGAAATAGGAGAGAGACAGGGGCCGCGCCCACTCAGGAGGCCTCCCTCAAGCCCGCTGCCGGCAAATGAGCGCCAACATGGCTGCAGCTGTGCCAGCCACTGTAGCTGCGTCCAGGAAGGAGTCTCCAGGCACATGGGGCCTGGGAGAGGAGCCGGCAGGTATGGCTTTCCTGGAGGTAGGGGCCGGGCCCTTGGGGGAGCGGAGTGTGGAGGACCGAAGGTTTGCAGAGACCACGAGAAAGAGCCGCCAGGGCCGTGGGCAAGAGTGAGGGAACAGGCGAGCAAACCAGAATCCTAGAAACACGGGGGTCGGCAGAGCCAGGATGGGATGGGAAGGCTGAGCTGATGGGAAAGGAGAGAGAAGCAGCCCTCGGGCGGGTCTGGCCGCAGAGCTCCCAGGGATGTGGTCGGGAAGGGGTCTGTGGGACGCCAGAGCCTGAAGCCGCCTGCAGAGAGGGCGTGGGAGCTGGGGAAGTGGAGGCAGAGAGCGTGCCCTCCTTGCAAACTGGAGGGGGAGGTGGGAGGGCAGAGCACGCTAGGGTGGGGGTGGGGGGGTGTAGGTAAAAGAGGAGACTCCAGTGTGTTTAAATGTGGGTGGGGACCGGAAAGGGAATGAGGCCGGAGGGCTCCCAGAGAAGGTGAGAGGGAGGGGTGTGACCCAGCCCTGCCCCTGCCCCTCAGGCGTGGGCCCCTCGCTCCAGTGTCGCGTGTGTGGGGACAGCAGCAGCGGGAAGCACTATGGCATCTACGCCTGCAACGGCTGCAGCGGCTTCTTCAAGAGGAGCGTGAGGCGGAGGCTCATCTACCGGTGAGGGGGGTGGGGGCCCCCGGGAGAGCCCTGCGTGGGGGGGGGGGGGGGGGGGGGGGGGGGGTGGGGGGGAAGACCGGACTGGGGCAAACGTGTCCCAGACCCACAGTGCAGGGCCTGGCTGGGGCACCGACACCCCGGGGCTCCCTTCCTCTTGCAGGTGCCAGGTGGGGGCAGGGATGTGCCCGGTGGACAAGGCGCACCGGAACCAGTGCCAGGCCTGCCGGCTGAAGAAGTGCTTGCAGGAGGGCATGAACCAGGACGGTGAGTCGGGGAGCCGACCCAGAGACGCGTGGCAGAAGAGACGGGGGCACGGGGCTGACGGGGCGTCCTGACCCTTCCTGCCTCCCCAGCTGTGCAGAATGAACGGCAGCCGCGAAGCACAGCCCAGGTCCGGCTGGCCGGCTTGGAGCCAGACGCGGAGCGCCGGCTCGAGCCCCTGGCGGCCCCCCTGGCCCCGGCAGGGCCCGGCCCGCGGGGCCCCACGCCCGTTTCTGCAGGCAGAGCCCTGGGGCCCCGGGCCCTCACCCCTCCAGGGCACCACCACTTCATGGCCAGCCTTATAACGGCCGAAACGTGTGCTAAGCTGGAGCCAGAGGATGGTGAGTGGGAGGATGGCGGGGTGCTGGGTGCTCGGTGCTGCCACAGCAGCCTTTATCCTCACCCCTGCACCCCTGAGCACAGAGCAGGGGCTGATGTCTCAGCCTCCTCCTCCAACAGCCGATGAGAACATTGATGTCACCGGCAATGATCCTGAGTTTCCCTCATCCCCATACTCCTCCTCATCCCCCTGTGGCCTGGACAGCATCCACGAGACATCGGCTCGCCTTCTCTTCATGGCTGTCAAGTGGGCCAAGAACCTGCCGGTGTTCTCCAATCTGCCTTTCCGGGATCAGGTACACGTGTCAGGGGCAGCTGGGCTGGGGGCGCACACACCTTCGTGCAGGCGACGACTGGGGGTGCCCGAAGCCTGGGGATGGTGGAGACGGTTGGGGGCACATGTGTCTGAGTCAGTGTTGGTCGGGGATACAGGTCTCAGGGATGTGACCACTGGGGGGCGCTCACGTCTCTGGGCAGAGATGAAAGCGGGGTGTGCAACTAGGGGGCGATGGTAGCTAGGGTCATGCAGGGATCAGGGATTTGAAGGCGATGCCCATGGCCCCCTGGGCCTTCCCTGCTAGACAAGCCTTCAGGTCCTACAGTCCCTCTGTGTGACAGGGCAGTCTGCCCGCCCATCAATAGCTCAAGTGGGTGGGTGACTCTGGGCTCCCCGGGACCGCAAATGCCTCTGACCTCAGAGCTCGAGTTTCCGCCTACCCTCTTCACCCATAGGACTTCCCTCTGACCTTCTCAAGGGCAAGCAAACGTGTCGTGATAAACCCAGGAAGAGAGGCACACTGAGGGTCTGAGTCATTGGCCGGTGGTTTGGAAGGAGCAGCTCCGAAGTCTGCTGAGCACACTCAACTCGGGGGTGCACATGGGCGTGTCCCCGAGGGTGCCCAACTTGCCTCGGCTCTCGGCCTTCCTAAATGTCTCGGCTGAGCCTCTGTCTGGATGGAACCTATAGAGTAACTTAGAGCCTAGGCAGCTGGGCCAGATCATACCAAATCCTAGAGCTCGGGGACCCTGGCCAGTGCCAGGCAGAGGTCAGGAGTAGGTCTGGGCACCCAGGGCCAGCCCTTCCTTTCTTAGGGCCCCAGTAACCTTGGCAGAGGTTGCAGGCTGAGCCAGACAGGTTACACCTCAGCCATCACACTCGCTGCTTCTTTGAGCACAGGTGATCCTGCTGGAGGAGGCGTGGAGTGAACTCTTCCTCCTCGGAGCCATACAGTGGTCGCTGCCTCTGGACAGCTGCCCACTGCTGGCCGCACCTGAGGCCCCCGCCGCCGGCAGCTCCCAGCACCGCCTGGCGCTGGCCGGCGCGGAGAGCCGCATCCTGCAGGAAACCATCTCGCGGTTCCGAGCCCTGGCGGTGGACCCCACGGAGTTCGCCTGCATGAAGGCCCTGGTCCTCTTCAAACCAGGTGGCCCAGTCTTTGCCCAAGCCCTAAAGAAATGTAGTTGGGGTTAAAGAATGGGAATTCCAATGATTTCCTTCTGCCTCTCACTCTGCCTCCACCACCCCACATAGACCCAGGCTTCTCCCCTGGGGGGCAGGAGGAGAGAGGCACAGGGCCGGGCTCCCCCCTCCCCCTCTCACCAAGGACCACTGTGGGGGTGGGGCGCGCAGGGCAGGCTGGGAGAGGAGCTCACTGCCGGTGCTTGCTTCTCTGCAGAAACTCGAGGCCTGAAGGATCCAGAGCACGTGGAGGCCTTGCAGGACCAGTCCCAAGTGATGCTGAGCCAGCACAGCAAGGCGCACCACCCCAGCCAGCCTGTGAGGTGACCTGAGCGCGTGCCTCCCTGCCCACCTGTCCCGGCTCCTCTCCACCCTCCCCCCACCGCGTGGACACCATCTCGGGGCTGCACTGATTAGATGGCCCAAAGGTCTGAGTTCAACCAGCCTGAATCCAACATGCACTGTGTGCCAGGCCCCGGCACTGGAGACCAAAATGAGCATAAGACCAAGTTGCTGCCTCCCAAGGATGCCCCGCACAGGGAGCACACCGAAGATGCGGGGCACCCTAGTCGGATATTGAGGTTCAGATACCTGCATCTCTGTGTATGAATCTATGTAGATAGCTAGGACAGGAGCCCAGTTCGGAAGGTGTAACAGGTTGCTGCCAAGAGAGGAGGTGGGCAATTAAGCCAGGGCAGTGCTCCGGGCCAGTCTGTCCAGGACTTGGAATGCCTGCCAAAGGCCATATGTGATTAGGTAGGCAGAGCGGAGCCACCGCAGGTTTTGGGGCAGGAGGGTGCTGTGCACAGAGCCAGAGTGAGTACAGAGACTGTGATCAGGGAGGGCAGCGCACACCGCCATCACCCAGGGCAGTCCCTGGGGCCCTGCTCTCTGGAGAGGCCATAGGAAGTGGGAGGGAGAGGGCAGAGGCAGGGGCCTCCAGGAGAAAGAACGGCTCAGACTTGGAGCAAGAGAAGAGGTCCTACTGGGGAGAAGAGGGAGTCAAGAAATAAAAGGGAAAGCAGGAGGAAGAGAGGGTTCTGAGGGGACCGGACCAGCTCTGCTGGCGCTGCAGAGGAGCGTCTGGGCGGGTGCACTGGGCTAAGCCACGTGCACAGATGATGGCCGGGTCCTGGCTGGGTTGGGGGGCGGGGGCTGCTGGCTGAGAGGGAGCGTGGGGGCGGAGCCAGTTTGGTCCAGCACCAGCAGATGCAATGGAGCCCACTTGGCCTCCAGGCATCTACTGGCTATTTTAGACCTTATTCTCTGCATTCTTTCGGGGCGCCCTGCAGCTCTTTCTGAAGAAGTAAGGGAACATGAGCATCTTCAAATCACCTCTGATCTGAGAAATGAGGTCAAGAGGTAATTTCGCTTTAAAAAAAAAGAGTCAAGGTATACAAAGAATATATACTGGGCCGTCCAGAAAGATTTCTGCTGCTTAGGAGCCTGGGGAGAAACAGCTGTTCCTAAGGCGTGACAGAGCGTCCTAAGCGCAGTCATGCCAGAAACACAACACATCCCAGGAGCCCCCCACCCCCACCCCAGACTTGCTACTGGAAAGTTCCCAGAGACGTCCGGGCATATTGGTTTGGTGTCAGAATTCCAATTCTGATTACGATTTCCTCTGTCACTTCTTAGCAGTCCAATACCAACTGCCGACAGAACTGAGACAGAGGTTTTCGGTTCTCTAAGTCTGTGTGTTTCAGTTTTTAGCAACTGCAATAAGCAGGAAGAAATAGTTTCCATCACAACCCAGTACACACACAGACACTGAAACAAAGTCCCCCCAACTAGTACCTGCACTTACTTTGCAGACAGTAATTTACTCCGTTTCTATTCCGTCATTTTTTTTAAAGGCTTGTGGTGACCCACTACATTTAATTTCAGTCCCACTAGGGGCTGAATTCCTGCAGTTTGAAAAAGAATTTCTTGATTTTCTGCCTGCTTCTTCCTGAAACTCCGCAGCTCAGAAAAACAAGAAGGGAAGGAGCAGGGGGGAGGTACAGGACTGCTCAGCGCCACTCACTTGGCGCCTCAGTCGGGTGGCCAAGAACAAGTCCCACAGAGACCTGGCCGATGAGGGAAAGCCTCCCACGGACCTCCGTGGTGGGAGTTGAGCGTGGAGCGGCCCCACTTTGGAGTGGCCTCCTTGACAGCGGGCACTGAACCCCGCTGATCCCTCCCATCTGTCTTTTGGAGCTTCACGCCCCCCTTCCTCCTTTGCACTGGGGACCCTTGCCTTGGCAAACGGTTCTTATTGAAAACTGCAGTTGCTTTTCTTCTGGAGTATCTCCCCACAACAATTATGCTTCAACTTCAGAATACTTTCACTACTGGCTACTCTATCATCCTAGCAGGCTTACACAGGGGAATTAAAATTCTTATTCAAATATATATAGTATTGATCGTAACTATAACAATCACATAGATGATTGGTATACTCATATATATATATGGTATCAGTAGAAAGAACTCCTCACTTTCCAATCTTTACACATAATAAACAATATTTATTCACCCTTTCTATGCCATTGCCCCCATGGCTCATGCTCAGAAGCCGCTAATAAAACTGGTGGTGTCCTCTCTCCTGTTTAGGTTTGGGAAATTGCTCCTGCTCCTCCCATCTTTGAGGTTTATCACTTCGGAACGGGTCGAGCTCCTCTTTTTCCGCAAGACCATAGGGAATACGCCAATGGAGAAGCTCCTCTGTGATATGTTCAAAAACTGACAGAGGTGAACTACCCTGGCTGGGTACAGCTACTTCGGAAAACAACCTACCGAAGCCAAACCTTTGTCTGCCCTGTGACCCAGCAATTCCACCTGTAGGTAGGCGTACCAAGCAGGCACGTCCACCAGAAGACATTAGAAGTGTGTTCATAGCAGCTTGATTCATAATAGCCCCAAACTGTACTTAGGCAATAGGATGGATTAATAAATTGTGGTCTATTCATTCAATGGAAAACAACAATAAAGAAGAGTGAACTGCCAACACGTGTGACAGCATGGTGACTTTCACAGACATAAAAGCGGAACCAAGCACCTTTCCAGGCACAGGGTCTGCTTATACAAAGTTCAAGAACAGGCAAGACTAATGGGTGGTGACAGAGCTGGAATAGTGCTTACCTCTGGGGGAGGGAGGTGGGTGGCTGGGAAGGGGCCCGGGGAGCCTTCTCACGTGCTAGAAATGGTTTTTATTTTGACCCAGGTGGTGGTTTCACAAATCTACTAATTCATAAAAATTGAGCCATGCACTTAAGATTTGTGTACTTTACTGTATTAGGTTAAATCTCAATAAAAAAGTGAAGAAGCAAAAAGAAAACACATGTGGAAAAGTCTCTCCCTTTGAGGACACAGAAGGAATGAGCACAGGCCCTTGTGTGGTTCCATGTGGTTTCCACGCCGAGTCAGAGTCCAGGTGTGACAAATTCCAGCCTGGCTTCAGAACTCCCACAGGAGTCAAAAACCCAGCCTCTCTCCAGGTGGGGTCCCAACGGCCCACAGGCTCCTCGGCCTTTCTCTTCCTGTTCTTCCTCACCCCTCCAGAAACAAAGGTGAGCCCCTCTGACTCAAAGCCAGGCAGCTACAGGCACTTTTGGGGAAGGGGAGTCTCTACCACTTCCTAATTCCTTAGGGAGGAATGCTCAGCCAAACCTCATCCTCTTCAAAGGCAGATGCAAAAGACTTACGAAATGATAGTAAAGCAAAGAGTTAACCTCTGGCAGGCACTATATCATACACCAGGCAGGAATAGAACGCTGAATGCCCATGTTATTTAATCCTCAGATTAGCTCTGGGACAGGGACTGATCATCCCCATGGATAAATGAAAACACTGAGGCTTGGAGAGAACTCAAACCTTGGTGGGACTCTACTTACCTCCTCAGAACTCTGGCACTGCTTCCCCACCACACCCTCTCCGCTCTTGGAGTCGCTGAATGATGCTGTTGCATTTCCTGTCCTCACAGAAGAAATGCTTGAAGTCAAGAAGGATAAGGTCACATGAGAAATCTGTGAAATCCTAGGAGTTCCTTGCCCTTTGGCCTACGTGTGAATTCTAGCTCACAGAGAGATCCTGCCTTGATGGAAAGAGGTGGTTCCGGACATTCTGCTCTGGAAACGACAATAGCTAGGCCGGTGCCCAGAGAGAAACGAGTATGACAAATATTGCCCAGCTTCAGCCCTTCCTACTTGAGGACTCAAACTACTCTTGGTCTTCTAAAAGCATCAGATGTGCCTCAGTGATTCAGGCCATTTGATGCATACAGTGTCATTATACTATCCAATTGCCCATCAAAAGTTTTAACCATTGGGTTTACAAGGCCTGCAAACAGAAAGTTGAAGCAAAGGCACTGTAGCAAGAAACAAGGCGGAAAGAGGACCGGATAGACCCTGGACATCTACCCTATAGTCACGCTTCTGAGAACATACAGGAGTGCAGGGGTGGCCAGTCGAAGTTCACAGGCTGGTGTCCGGGATGTATGATCACAGAAATTCTATATTGGGAGAGATTGGGATTTCCAGGAGGAAATCACGAGAATTAGAGGAGGTACATAAACTGAATTATCTGCTGTCAACCGGGCATCAATACCACCCCCATCTAAGGTCTTGTCTTCCTTGCAGAGATGCAGGAACTACATTTCCCAGGATCCCTTCCCCCAGGGCTTCCTCTGGAAGGGAGGCACTCACATGAGCCTTGGAAAGTAAACAAGGAAGCCATTATTCTCTGGAGGCAGTTGCAGCCAGCTGTGTGGGAAGATGGAGATTTCAGGCAGTCTTCCTTAGAATTGCAGTAGCTTCCAGGCAAACTCCTAATTTTGGATCTTTTGGCTGAGATCTGTGTTGGCTTTCTCTACCTTCTGCAGGAGCTTTTCTGATCTTTGTTTCTCCAGTTCTTCCAGTAACCCTAATTTCTTTTTAAGTCCTTCTCACCTGAAGTACGCTGAGTGGCTGTTTCCCCAATACAACATAGAGCGCATGTGATCTCAAGGATTTATTCAACATTTTGCTGTAAATTGGCCCTACTGAAATTTGGATGGAAAACACATCTCCATTGCATTTAGGGCTGTTGCTAGGAGAGGGGATACTGTGAAAGGTTTTTTGCCCTCAAATCCAGAAATGTCTTTGGTTATGAAGCACATGGAGGTAGTCTCTGTGGGCCTGAGCTTTTCTTTTCAACTGCAGTTTGCAGATTCGAGAGGCACACATCCTCCTGTGCTCTTAAAGGACTTTAATTGTAGGAAAGGCAAAGAAAGACCCAAAGATGCCAAGAAGCACCACTTAAATTAATAAATATAACCTGATAGTGGAGCCCAGATATTGTGGATGCCTAGTCTCCATCTGGTGGGCATTGTTTTCCCCCCAAATTCAAGCTCCACGGGGTTAGGGAGCTTCGTTTTGTTTGTACTAATGTACCCCAAACACCTGGGACAGTGTCTATGGGTGCTCAGCAAGTATTTGTTGGATGAATGGATAAATGGCCACCCAGAACTGGGAGGGGACATACTCAAATAGGATTCTGAGATGCCGACAGACTCAACAATCAGATTATTACATGTGTCTGATTTGCTTTCGTGGTTATACCCCCGGCTCTTAGACACTGTACTGCTACCCAATCTAGGAAAACAATTAAAAAAACAAAAAAACAAACCAAGGCTCTGGTCTCTTTATAGCTTGTATCTCCTTACACCTTTCTGCTCTCTTCATAATTGGGAGGTTTGTTGTAGATTCAGCTATCACAGGGGAACATTTTAAAAATGGCATTCGATTCTAGGTTTTATTTGACCAATTAAAGAAATTTTAAGGGGTGCCTGGGTGGCTCAGTCAGTTAAGTATCTGACTTTGGCTCAGGTCATGATCTCACAGTTCGTGGATTCGAGCCCTGTGTCAGGCTCTGTGTTGACAGCTAGCTCAGAGCCTGGAGCCTGTTTCAGATTCTTTGTCTCCCTCTCTGACCCTCCTCTGCTCACACTGCCTCTCTCTCTCTCTCTCTCACACACACAGAAATAAAGAAAACATTAAGAAATTTTTTTAAGAAAAAATTCACTATCTTTATCATTTTGATGTAAATTTAATGCTAAAATGTAAATATAAACAATGCAAAAAGAAATGGGAATATGATTTCAGAATTCTGTCTAAAAACTGGATAAATTTCCATTTCACCTTCCACCTGGTTTGGCATCTGGGAACCCCCAATCTCATTCAACCTGCTCATCCAGTATCTAAGCAAGGGCACCTTTTGTTAGGTGCTGGGGAATCTAAGAGTCAGCAAGATAGGCACACTTCGTGCCTTGGTAAGCTTAATCAAACGGTTTTTGATGCCACAAATCCTGGGCACCACTGAGAACACAAGACCTCCAACCCAGTTCAAGGGGGAGGAGTAAATTTCCAGGAAACTGCTCTTTACACAGACACCTGTCAGTGGGAGTTATATAGAGAAGTAAACCTGAGGAAGAGAAACTCCCTTCCAGATGGGAAAACTGACACCCAGAAAAGGCACACCAAAGTCATGCCGTCAGAACAAAAAGACAATCTAGGCTTGAATTCCTGGGCCCACAATGAGCAGATATTGCTACTTCTTCACGGTCTCTTTAGTGAGGATCCTAAATGTAGACTTGTGGTCTTGGCTGTCCACCTAGCTCTGGGCTGATGAAATGAAGTCTTAGTAACTAGCAGCTAGCATCCATTACAGAAACCTAACAGCTTGAATCTCACCCTTCACTTGGGTTCAGTTGAGCTCTGGTACTACGGTTTCTGCACTTCGTCAACCGCTCAGTCCTTTCCTTAAACAAAAAGCACCGGAGTGGGGCTGGACGAGTTGGGGTGGGAGCCAGGATGGTCAGAAAACAAACCACACATATTGCTGCTTCTGGAAGCTTTGTTCTTTAATGAGCCATGGAGTGATTTGTTCATCAAGCTGCTTTTGTGTAGCTATACAGTGCATATTCTGAGTGACACAAACTGCACTTCATACAGATGATGTCTTACTCCCCCCACCTCCAAAAAAAAAAAAAGAAAACAAAAAACAAAAAACAAACCCAACCCAAAAGGAAATTACAAAGTGCCTGTCGATTGCATCAGGAATGTAGTCAGTTCCGTGGGTGAGATAAATCATTTTTATAGAATTATTCTGTTAAACAGTAAAATGATACTATATTTCACAGGATATGTCCTTTTACAATACATAGTCCTTTAAAAATTTACACTCAGCATACTTATAAATTACTTTAAATCCATTAAAATAATATAATACTAATCTGTAATCCACACCTTTCCCCTAGTAAATACAATTACTTGGTTCAAAAGGTGCAACTTTTATATGACCTAAGAGGGCTGATAAATAGGCATTAGGTATATAGATGGACAGCAAGGTGATAGGCCCCTTAAACAGTTTTAACCAAGAGACCAACAAGACCAAATAGATCCATCTCCACATTCTTCATTTTGCTGTTACCTTTAACACCAAATCAAATGTGGGAGTGGTTCCAGAGGAAAGTGGTTAGAAATATTTTAGGGGCACAGAAGAACAGAGGACTTCCTCAAATATCAGGGACTTTTACCACCAAGGCTAGCATGGTGTTGTTGGGGGACAGTGCTGGGGAACTGTCACAAAACTATGGACAGACAGAACATACTTGCCAACACAGAATGACGCATGCCCCGGGCCTAGCTAGCTCCCACCACAGGGGAGAAGAGAGGAGGATCAGAAAAGCCATCTGGACTGTGTTTCTTT